GCTGCCATCCGCACCGCCCTATGCCACACAGTGTGACTGCTGCCATCTGTACCGCCTTATGCCACACAGTGTGACTGCTGCCAGCTGCACTGCCTTACGCCACACAGTGTGACTGCTGCCATCCGCACTGCCTTATACCACACAGTGTGACCGCCTCCCTCCCACCTTCTTACTTCTCCCCTTCTCCAATTTTTTTTTTTTTTTTTTTTTTTAAGATGGAGTTTTGCTCTGTTGCCCAGGGTGGAGTGCAGTGGCACAGTCTTGGCTCACCACAATCTCTGCCTCCTGGGTTCAAGTGATTGTCCTGCCTCAGCCTCCAGAGTAGCTGGGACTACAGGCGTGTGCCACCATGCCTGGCTAATTTTTACATTTTTAGCAGAGACGGGGTTTCACGATGTTGGCCAGGCTGGTCTCGAACTCCTAACCTTGTGATCCAACCGCCTTGGCCTCCCAAAGTGCTAGATTACAGGTGTGACCCACCAAGCCTGGCCAGAGTCTCCGGCTCTTTTCTACACAATCAGCAGAATTACACTTTAAAATCATAAATCAAGTATCACTTTTCTGCCCAAAACTTACAAGGGTCTCCCATCCCCTATTCAGGCCCCACAAGGGCCCCTGGGCCTGGACTCCTACTGCCTCACCCTGCCCTCCCCTTCCCCCTTCTTTGTCACACTGGCCTTTGCAGTCCCTGCCCACTCAGAGCCTTTGCACTTTAGCAGAAAGTCTCCAAAGATATTTGCATGCGTCACCCCCAGATGTCCTTCAGGTATCTGTGTTGACATCGTCTGATCGGAGTCCTTCCTAGTCACACTATGAAACAGCAAGCCACCCCCATCCTTAGCATTCCCTCTCTCCTACCTCTGCTTCCTCTGCACAGTTCTGACCACTTGACCAATCATAAGTCACCCAATCAAAGCAGCCATCGATTGTGGCTATACACTATTCTATGTACCATGAAGGAAAATAAAAGTAGCAATTTATTTTTTATTTAATTTCTTTTAAAGATGGGGTTTCACCACATTGGTCAGGCTGGTCTTGAACTCCCGACCTCAGGTGATCCGCCCACCTTGGCCTCCAAAGTGCTTGGATTCCAGGCGTGAGCCACCATGCCCAGCCAAAGGTACCACTTTAAATGAAAACACTCCATCAAGTCAGGCACAGTGGCTCACTCCTGTAATCCCAAGACTCTGGGAGGGAGAGGTAGGAGGATCACTTGAGACCAGGAGTTTAAGATCTGCCTGGGCAAGATAGAGATATCCCACCTCTACCAAAAAATTTTTAAAAAATAGCCAGGCGAGGTGGCACACCTGTGGTTCCAGCTACATGGGAGACTGAGGCAGGAGGATCACTTGAGCCCAGGAAGTTGAGACTGAGTGAGCCGTGCTTCTGCCACTGCATTCCAGCCTGAGCGACAGAGTAAGACCCTGTCTCAAACAACAACAAAAGACACTCCATCAATTCTAACAGGAAACTCAATTTCAGATATATGAAAATATGGAGACGGTGTATCTTAGAATCAATGAATTGTGATATATACACAATGAAATGTAAGTGAGTGTGGGCAGGGATTTTGTTCTGCTCTTTGTCCTCAGCAACCCAAACAATTCTTGGCATAAAGCAATAGATTTCATAAGTATCTGTTGCATGAATGAATGTTCTAATCATGCAAACATAATACACTCAACACATGGTAATAAGCCAGGTACAGTGGCTCATGCCTGTAACCTTAGCGTTTCCAGTGGCCAAAGCAGAAGGACTGCCTGAAGCCAGGAGTTCAAGACCAGCCTGGGCAACATAGCAAGACCCCATCTCTAAAAAATTTTTTTTAAATTAGCTGGGTGTGATGTTGCATACCTGTGGTCTCAGCTACTTGGGAGACTAAGGCAGGAGGATGGCTTGAGCCCAGAAGTTTGAGGCTGTAGTGAGCCATAAGTGTGTCAAGGAACTCCAGCCTAGGTGACAGAGTAAGACCCTGTCTCTAATTTAAAAAAAAAAAAAAAAAAAAAAAAAGCTCCAACACTTCTATTATTAAACGCTGAAATAAAAGTGTTATACACACCTTTAAGAAAGACAGATTAGCAGTGCTTACTATAGCTCTTTTAGAATGTCTAGCAGGTTTCTCAAGTTTTTACTGGAAAAATCTCCCATAAAAAAAAATTTAGAGAAACAAATCAGACAATTATTTACCCACTTATTTTAATGCAGGGTCCTGGGTGGCTGGAGCCTATCCCGGCAGCTCAGGGTGCAAGGCAAGAACCAGGCTGGGGCCGGGCGCGGTGGCTCAAGCCTGTAATCCCAGCACTTTGGGAGGCCGAGGCGGGTGGATCACGAGGTCAAGAGATCGAGACCATCCTAGTCAACATGGTGAAACCCCGTCTCTACTGAAACTACAAAAAATTAGCTGGGCATGGTGGCGCGTGCCTGTAATCCCAGCTACTCAGGAGGCTGAGGCAGGAGAATTGCCTGAACCCAGGAGACGGAGGTTGCGGTGAGCTGAGATCGCGCCATTGCACTCCAGCCTGGGCAACAAGAGCAAAACTCCGTCCTAAAAAAAAAAAAAAAAAAAAAAAAGAACCAGGCTGGATAGGACAGGGTTCCACCAAAGGGCAACTCACACACCCACACTCACTCATGCTGGGACCAAGGAGACACCCCAATTCACCTAATGTGCACAAAGAATGTACACATCTTTGGGACGTGGAAGGAAAGTCAGGCAGATGTGGGGAGAACGTGCACACTCCACACATGGTGTTCCCAGCCAGGAATCACTTTTTCCCTCATCCATGTTATAATCAAACAATGCTATTTGAGGCCTTGCTATGTCAGAAAGGGAAGCAGCAGCCAGAATCCACTCTCTGAAAGCTGAAAGCAGAGACCAAAGGAATGGTGGATGCTTTGAGGGAAAGTCTCTTTCCTGGCGCCTGCACTATGCCAGCCTGAAGTCTGAGGATTTGTATTTTCTTCCTTTTTTTTTTTTTTAGACATGGTCTTGTTCTGTTGCACAGGCTGATCACACAGTGGTGCGATCTCAGCTCATTGCAACCTCTGCCTCCCAGGTTCAAGCAATTCTTGTGTATTTTTAGTAGAGATGAGGTTTCTCCATGTTGGCCAGGCTGGTCTCTAACTCCTGGTCTCAAGCGGTCCACCCACCTTGGCCTCCCAAATTGCTGGGTTACTACACCCAGCCTTATATTTCCTTTTTAATTTCCATACATATTCTGCTTATGCACTGAGAATCCATGAAAGCTGCTCTCAGGAGAAAGCTGACTATCTTGCCTCAGGAGCCTTCTCTGTGGGGTTCTTGCTGGGCAGTGGGAGCCGGGCTACTGTGAAGATCAGTAATGCTGCCTTCCCATCCATTACTACTGCCTCTGATACCTCAAGGCTGCCACCAATACAATGAGGGAGGGGGGATCAGCTCAGCCCAGAAGCCAGTAAATAAAACTAGAGGTTCTGCTGTTGGTTTAAAAACCAGAGCTGTGCCAGGTGCGGCGGCTTAAGCCTGTAATCCCAGCACTTTGGGAGGCTGAGGTGGGCGGATCACTTGAGGTCAGGAGTTCGAGACCAGTCTGGCCAACATGGTGAAATCCCATCTCTACTAAAAATACAGAAAATCATCCAGGCATGGTGGCGCACACCTGTAATGCCAGCTACTTGGGAGGCTGGGTGAGAATTGCTTGAACCCGCGAGGCAGAGGTTGCAGTGAGCTGAGATTGTGCCACCATACTCCTGCCTGGGTGACAAAGTGAGACTCCATCTCAAAAAATAATGGTGACAGTATTTTCAAGGGAATTAGGGTGCTGGAGAAACAGCAAGCCTGCCCTGCAGAAGTCTACAGCTAGAGTGTTCTCAACAACACTCGAACACCCTAAATGCCCAGCAACAGACGACCTGCACAGGGAGAAAACTGCCACACACAAAAATGCAGATGGACCTCACAGATGGAATGCTGAGCAAAAACAGCCAGGCACAAAAGAGCTCATATTGTATGACTCCATTTACATAAAGCTGGAAATAAGAGCCAATCCCTGGTGGGAGGATGTAAGAAGAAATGGTCTTCAGGAGACACTGCTGCTGGCAGAGGCACACGGTGCCCTGAGTCACACAGGTGCTCACTTTGGAAAAGGTGAATGGGCCTGAGATTATACGGCCTCATGCAGGTGCTGGCAGGCTCTACTCGGCCCCAAAGTTGAGGGGAATGTCCCAGCCTGCAGTTTGGGAACTGTCACTCTGGGAACTGCTTCCAAGGGGGGGACTCCACCCACCCAGTGCCAAGCCCTGTCTCACTCTGTTACTTGTCTACTGCTGCAAAAACAATTTTCACAAACTCAGCAGCTTAAAGCAGTATACATTTGTTACCCTACAGTTTTGCAGGTCACACAAGCAGGCCAGGCCAGCTGGGACCTCCACTCAGGGTAAGACAAAACTGCAACTATACGTCATCAGGCTGAGTTCTCATCTGAAGGCTCTGGGGAAAACCAGTTTTCAAACTCATTCAGATTCATGGCATAATCCAGTTCCCTGCAATTCCAGGACTGAGAACCCTGTGTGCTTCCTGGCTGTGAGCAGGGGCCACCCCCAGGGGCCACCTGAAACCTCAAGGCAGGCATAACACATCACATTTTTCTCACGCGTCTCATCTAAGCCTCTGTTCTCCAGCCAGATGGAGGAAGCTCTGCTTCCCAGGGCTTGTGTGGTTGGATCAGGCTCACCCAGACACCCTCGCTTTTCACCTCCCTGACTTGGGACTTGGACATCTGAAAGTCTCTTCACTGCAGTACCAGATGAATGTCTGAAAGAGTAACTGGAAGAAGGGGTGTGTATATTAGGTGCCAGGAATCTAAGAGGCCATCTCGGAAATCTGCCCTCCACACCCAGGCCAGGTAACAGGAATCCAAAACTACTGCCACTGCTCAGGGCACCATGAACTGCGCCCATGTAAGAGGCTGAACTGATCAATGTGTGTGTTCTACATCCACCACTGACCAGCTGTTCCCGTCTCTCTCCCTTTGCTCGGGCCTCCCTCTTCCCTGGGCACAATATCGAGACTAGGCTAATTAGTCACCTTATCACAGCCGCTACGTGCTCACATGAAAGGTGGAATCCCACATCTCTCACTTTAAACCAAAAACTAGAGATGATTAAGCTTAGTGAGGAAGGGATC